GGCTGTGGGAGAGGTCACCATGGTGGTGAAGTCTGGAGCCAGCAGAGCTGGAGTGGGGGCCGGTTCCTCTGCTCTGGCTGAGCTGCTGAAATTCCCCAACCGCCAGTTTGCTGGGCACCGTCATAGCATCATAGAGCGGCTGTGAACAGGAATTACGGTTTATCCGTGCAACCCAGCCAGCACGGGTGGGGCTCCCATGGAGGACTGCGGGCCCAGGAGTCATCGTCACTCTGGGGCGTGGGGGAGACGGGGCCTGGAGCCGGGGCTGCGATGTAGGGCTGTGCCCGCACAACTCTACGGAGCCTCCTTCACATCACGGCCATCGTGGATCCATTCTAACACTTTCCCAGTCAATGAAAATAGACTGTCTTGAGAAATGACACCTTTTACTAATTCTCACAAAGTTGCCTCACAGTGTAAATATGTGCTGTCCAGTATGGTAGCGACTAGCTATTTGTGGCTACTTATATTAAAAGTAATTAAAGAAATTCAAATGAAAACTTCAGATGCTCAGTTGCACTAGACGTATTATAGGTGCTCAATAGCTTCACGTGGCCATTGTACAGGACAGTGCAGATCTAGAACATTCGCAGGCAATTCTACGGGAGGGCCAGGGGAGGCACTGTTGAAGCTGAGAGCAAGGCTGGGAGGGATGAGAAGAAAAGGGAATCCCAGGCAGGGGGCCACACAAGCTCCCTCTCCTTTCCTCCCACCGTCTTGGCTACTCCAAGCCCTGGTAGACTCCCCAGGGCTCAATCTTTGAGAAAAGAAAGTCAAAAGCAGGGGTTCTCAAACTTTTCAAACAGGGAGCCAGTTCACTGTCCCTCAGACCGTTGGAGGGCCGGACTATAGTTTAAAAAAAAAAAACTATGAACAAATTCCTATGCACACTGCACATATCTTATTTTGAGGTAAAAAAACAAATGGGCAAAAACACCCCCATGTGGCGGAATGTAGGGAATGTTCCTCCCAGGCAGTGGGAAAATAAATTTGCCAGGGAATTGAACTAGGATTTCTGGCAGTGTTGAGTGTTCGTTGAGGTTTGTGGCCACGAATCTGTAGTGAAACCAGTCCGTCAAGTGGTGAGATGTCCTCCCAGGAGCTCTGACGGAGGCAGGAGGAAGGCAGGTGGAGGCCGGGGTGTGGAGCCCGGCAGAGCAGGGTGAACAGAGCAGTAAGCGGCTGAGAGTCAGGGTGAAGGCGGATGGCGGGAGGCTTGGGCTGCTGCTGATGGTGAGCTGTCCAGGAGTGACATGAGGATGCAACTCCTGACCAGCTCTTGATCTTTGACTCTAGGAAAGAATAATCTCGAAGGCTGCTGGCACATGAGCTCCCTCTCTCAAGGCCGAGTAGAGTCATGCCAAGGATGGGCCAGAGGTCAGTGTGGACAGGACTGGGCAGGCCCCAGGGGGTTGAGGACCTGGCATTGAAGCCAGAATCCTGGCTTATTCCCACCGTGCCTTTGAGCTTCTACTAAAACTTTACACATTGGGAAAAAAAAAACAAAAAGAAAAACAAATACCTTACCTGTTGTTTGTTTGAAATTTAAATTTGACAGGCTTCCTGCATTTTTATCTGCCAAATCTGGCACTCCTACCCCCTGACTATGAGCCAGTAACACCCCAGCTCAGCCCTGGCCCCCTCTTCCTCCCAGCTCTCTCTCTACCCCTGGCACCTCTGCCCTCCTACTTTCCCAGCTCAGCCTCCACCATTCCATGGGATTGAACAGCCACCAGCTCCTGCCTGTTCTTTAGAAACACCCCCCTTTCTGCAGCCCTCTGCCACCCTAGCTCCATGCGTAGACAACACAGTGGTGACCCCCTAACTGGGCTCTCTGCATGTAGCCCATACCAGATGAAAATTCCTAAAACCACGCCTCACTCCACCACACCACACTCTGGCTCTTCAGCCTTCAGTGGCTCCCCACTGCCCACAGAAGAAAGCCCAAACTGCAAGGCTTAGAGCAGCCTGTTCCCACAGCCCTTCCCAGACTGACTTCCTGCAGCACACCTCTTCCCACCCTGTCCTTGTGCCCAGAGGGCCCTCGAGTACTTCCTCTCCTTTGGGTGGTGAAGTCCCACTTTCCCTTGAAGATCGGCTCAAAGGACCCACAGTCTGCAGAGACACCCTGACCACCTGGATGGCCTTCCCTGCCCTCCTGTCCCTGCTCTGGCAAAGCACGTACTGTACTGCTTTCTGGATCCCCTCTTACTACGGTCATTGCATCTGAAATCTAGGGGTTAGATTGGCTAGAAACTGTATCTTCTCAACTAGATTGAGAAGCTCCGTGAAGGGCAGGAAAAGATGGTTTGTCTGTTTCTCTTTGCAGGTGTTGGCCAGTCCAGGCAGGAGCCGGGTTCTGTGACTTTCGAGCCGGGCTCAGCGCCATGGGGCTAGGTGGGTCAGAGGCAGGGGTGGGGGCAGGTGTCCACACTCGGCATCTCAGGGCAAGCCATGGTCGCTGGTCCAGAGTCGTGGCAGGACGTGGAGCAGGGACTGGCAGGAGGCTTGACTGGTTCGCAGTGGTGGGCAGGATGGGCTCGTACGGGTCAGGCTCCTCCTGGGGCATGGGGGGCTTCTGGGTAAGCAGGCTTATGGGCCTCACCTGCTGTGGGAAGCAGATGAGGTGGCTGCACAGGCCTCAGAAGCCCGGAGGGCAGGGCCTCCAGCGTCCAAGCCTCACCCAGGCTGGGAGGAGTCAGAGGAGCCAGAGGAGGAGTTGGCTTTTGGTTTGTGGGCTACCCTGGGTGTAAGGGCAGAATAGAGACGTCCTGCGCCTCCCCCCTCCCTGCCCCCATCATCTCCTGATGCCCCTGACCCCTGGAAACCATCTCTTCCAGGTGCCAGAGCTCCTGAAGGGTGTATGAGGAAAAGGGGAGTTGAGGTTGTCCAATGACTATTTTTCGGTTCCAGGTTGCCAAAGAAGCCCAGTAGTCTGTGGGCATCATGCTGTCTGGTGTGTCTTCAGAGGTCCTAAGTCTGGGCGGATGCTCATCTCAGGTCCGTGGGCAGGTCAGTGCCGGCCCTTGGGTTGCCCTGCGGCAGGGGCGGGGCGGGCGATGGGCACGTCCCAGGGCAGCTCCAGGAGAGCAAAGCCTGTGCTCCCAGGGCAGGCAGGTGGGTCCCACCGGGCGCTCCTGTCCACGCCCTTGCCCCGCGTGCCCAAGGGCAGCAGGACTGGTGCCTGGCCACTGCCAACCACCCTCTACTGCCTCCACCGTGACCTGCCCCTGCAAGGCACCCGACAGCGGCGAACAGGGGACTGCGGAAGGGCAAGACCTCGTCCAACTCCACTGGAGCCTGAGATCCGGTGGGCGCCTACTGCGGGGCACACCCCACGGGCCTGGCAGCCTCAAAGGCACCCCCTACTCCCCAGTCAGCTTGGGGTGCTGGGCACCATCTCCCATCATCTCACAGGAGCCCTGAGGCCAGAGCCGAACTGCTGTGGGGCGCCAGCTCTGGGGCTTCCCTGCCTCTGTCTTGCCACCGCCAAGCATGTGGAGCACCTGGTGCTGGGCGGGGTCTGGCTTGGGCCACCCAGAGATGAGACCCCATTCCCCCTTTTGGTGCATTCCCCTTTTCTGTGCCCCAGCCGCACCTCACCCTTCCAGGTAAGAAGAGGCTTAAAGCAATCGTCACCCCAGGATCCTAAGGCCAATGGCAGAGATTGGTGGGAAGATGGTGCCAGCCAGGGGCAGCGTCTTTGACTCATGCACAGCCCAGAACCCCAGATGTCGGTCCTGACAGTGCAGGCTCTGGGCCCAGTATTGTCTGGGAGAGTTTCTTTAGGTCCCATCCCCAAACTGAATAATAAAACAATGAAGAGTCAAAAGGTGCCAGGAAAAGTGTGACCACTGTGCAGAGGAGGACACAGCAAGGACCTGCACAGCCGTTGTGTGGGGACACAGAGAGGGCCAGGAGGGGTGCCAGGAGCAGGGGTGGGTGTGGGGGACTTTCCTGGCCTCATGGCCACCCTGGGCATAGCAGGCCAGGGCAGGGGGTGGGCGCCACCAGCTGGAGGAGTGGGCCAGAGGCAGACCCTGAGCCAGCGCCCCAGGGTGGCTCCGGCTGGCCCAGGAGGTGCGGGCTGGCTGCCCCGGGCGAGCCTGCAGGACGGGCCGTGAGGGCCGGCCCAGGGCGGGGATCAGGGAGCAGGACCAGAAAGGACAGGGGCTGGGCTGGTCTGTGGAGGAAGCTGGTGGCCCTAAGAGGCAGAGTCCAGCCCCTCTTAGCCGAAGGGCCCGGGCACTGGGTTGAGGGGCTCAGGCAGGACCCGGGGAGCCTGGGAAAGCACCTTCCTCGGCTGCAGGCCCTGCTTTGGGGATTCCCCCTGTGCCCCGGCCTTCCCCTGCCTGGCCCTGGGAGGAAGGCAAGAGAGGCATCCTGCCACCTCTTGCTGCCACACCTGCTGCCCCGGAGCCACAGCCTGTCCGGACCAGGAGGGTGCAGGGCACAGGGTGCAGGGTGTGGTCAGCTCACTGGAGGGGGTGGATTTAGGGTCAGGGAACCCCCTGCCCTCTCCCTGAGCTTGTGTGGGGTTTGCAGGGAGACATGTGACCCAGGGGAACCTGGCGGTGGTGGCAGGGGGCCTGCTGCTGGGCCCCTCCTCCTAGGACTGCTGTGGAGCTTCCTCTCCAGGGGCTCCCTGGTGCCCTCAGGGTTGTGTCTCCTCAGGGGCCTGTCTCCTGGGACCTCAGCATGCCCTGAGGGAGCTGTGGGGTTGCATTAGCCCATCGGCAAGCCTTTGTGCACCTCCTTCCCCTACTCCAAGACTAGGTCCCAGGTTCCCCTCTGCCTGGCTCACTTTCCCCTTCCCCCAAGCGCTCACCCAGGTCTTCCCCATTGGCCCACCTCCTCCCAGAAGCCCTCCCAGGCTAGCCTGGCCACATGCTGCTTCCCACATCAGAGCACCTGAGGCCCACACAGCACTGTCAGGCACTGGCCCTGCACCGTCAGCCTGCTTCACACAGTGTCAGCCAGGACAGGAGCATCTTGGTGGCCTTTGCAGGAAACAGGGCTCAAGGTGAACCAGCCAGCGTCCTTTGCGGTGCAGCTGAATGGTGCACGGGGCGTGATCGATGCCAGGGTGCACACGCCCTCAGGAGCCGTGGAGGAGTGCTACGTCTCCGAGCTGGACAGTGGTGAGCTGGCCCAGCCCCTGCCACGCCAGGACCTTCTGGGAAGGGGAGAGGGAGGATGGAGGCTCACCCACCAACCCTCTACCCACAGACAAGCATACCATCCGCTTCATCCCCCACGAGAATGGTGTCCATTCCATCGATGTCAAGTTCAATGGTGCCCACATCCCTGGAAGTCCCTTCAAGATCCGTGTTGGAGAGCAGAGCCAGGCTGGGGACCCAGGCTTGGTGTCAGCCTATGGTCCTGGGCTCGAGGGAAGCACTACTGGTGAGTGCCTGGAGGTGGGGAGCAGGGTGCCTTTGGGGGTGCTCGGCCACTAGTCCAGGACTGCCTTGCTCTGGAGGCTGGGGCAATGCTCCTGAGCCCCAAAGTCCTGGCATGGGCTGCCTGGGGGATCCTGGGGCCCGGCCTCGCTCTGGGCCACGTGCCCTTGCCGCCTACAGCCTTGCTGCCTCTGGCTGCCATGCATGTCTTCAGAGTTCATCGTGAACACCCTGAACGCTCAGGAGCCTTGTCCATCACCATCAAAGATTAGAGATCACATATGAGAATTAATAAGTGCTGGTACTTCTGTGCTGGGCCCCATGCTGAGTGCTCTCTTGGCATTAATTCAGTAACCTTCACAAACTATGAGGTGGGTGTCCTTGGCCTCCAGTCACAGCTAGGAAGAATCAGCCAGGGAAAGTGAAATGACTTGCCTGAGGTCACAGAGCCGCAAGCATCAGACCAGGATCATCTGGCAGCCTTGGGCCGAGTCGGCTCTCAGCTTCTCCACTCAGCCTCCCAGAGGACTTGCCTTAGCCTGGCAACCAGCGAACCCAAATCATTTTCCTTAAACCCTGTAGGAATAGCGCTGCCACTTCCTCGTTCCTGTCTTGGCCTGCTGGCCCTGGCTTTCCGCTCTGTGACCCCAGCTCTAGGCCACCAGGGCTAGGGCTCAGCACTGATCACAGCCTCACCCTCCCCCTGGGGCAAACTGCTCTTCACTGAAGCCTTAAGATACATGAGGAGTGGGCTTTAGTCTCTGCCTGGGCTGGGGGGAGGGGGTGGCTTCTGACTTCTGGTCTTTATGGCCTGGAGGGAGACTGCCTCGGCAGGACTCACAGCCCCGCCCTCAATGTCCCTCTTTGCCTGAGAGCTTGGGGCCCCAGCCCTTTGCTTCCCAGCTGCACTGAGGAGTGTCCCAGCCTTGCAGCCCACGTGGACAGCTTCCCTCACTTCCTCTGCCTGCTGAGCTCAGGGCCCAGAGCCTGGGAAGGGAGGTGTTTGGGGTCAAGCCTGGGGCTGCTGGGGTGGGTAGGGGTGGTGAGTGGAGTCCAGGAAAGAAACTTAGAGGCAGAGAGAGGAGCATACTGGGTGTCCTTGATTTCAGAGACCAGGAGTAACACTTACTGTTACTAATTATTTACCAAGTACTTACCATGTGCCTGCCACTTCCCTCACTTCTTTGTGTACATAATCTCATTTAATCCTCACTGCAAGTCTATAAAGAAGGTATGGGATCCCCAGTTTACAGACAGGTAAACTGAGGCACAGGGAAGTTAGTGATCTAAGGCCACATGGAATTGGCCAGGCAGGGATTTGAACCCTGCTCAGTCTGCTGCTCCTGTAAAGGGGTGTTCCCAGGGCCCAGGAGAGGGGCTTTCCTGGATCCCGAGCATGGTGGACTTGGGTTTATTTTCAGGGCCTCCTCCTGGATCCTATGCAGGAGACAAGGGCTGCCCGGCTTCCTGCGAGGCTGCGGCTGCCCTCTGGGGTCAGGCCGGGCGCCCCGGCGGTGGCGGTGCCCATGGGGGAGGGGGCGCGCAGGGGGGATGAGCTCTCCCTGAACAAAGGCTGGGTGGGAGCGGCCTGTGGCTCCCCACCCCGCCTCCCCCAGCGCCTGCCGAGCCGCGACGACAGACAGCGAGGCGGAGCCAGCATGGCGGGGGCCCTGCTGCCCCTGCTCCTGCGGCTGGGGAGCCTGGCGCTGGCCCTGGGTGCGGGAGGTGAGTTGGGGTGCCAAGGGCTTGGGGGGGCCGGGCGCGCCCCCACCTCCTGCTCGCCCGTCTGAGCAGCCGGGCGGTGAGATCTGGGGGGCTGCTGCTTCCCCAGCCGCGGGGGGCGCGCGCCTCCCAGCCAGCTCGGTCCTCCCCGTCGGTGGTGGTGGAGTGGGCAGCGTGGGGGTCCAGGACGCGGAGGGGGCCCTCTTGCTACGTTTCGGGAGGGAGTCCTGCGGCCAGGAGTGGGGGAAGAGAGAGGCTGCCCCGCCGGCATCTGGGAGTCTGAAGTTAATTATTTATCTTGAGAAAGCGGAGTTTAAGGAGGCCGGCTATGGGAGCTGACTTTGAGTCTGTGTGCTGGCCCTTCCTGGAGGGGACAGGCAGGAACGGAGGGCGCAGCGTAGGGGCTGGGCGGGGAGCAGAACGGTTTGTGGGAACAACCAGGTTTGTGCCAATGTCAGGAGCTCTGCATGCGGGTCTCCCCAGCCTCCCCCAGCCCCCTTCTTGTGTCTGCCCAAGCAGGACTGGAGCAGTGGCAGGGAGAAGTGCTCCCGGAGAGAGGGGTAGGCGATGCGGGAGTCTAGCCTGGGCAGAGGGTTTCAGGTGCTGAGACCCCATCCCTGACCGCCTCCTGGCAGTTGGGAAGGAGCTGGGTACAGGAACCGTGCCAGGACAGAATACTGTTCCAGGGGACAGGTTGCCCTGCACAAGGGATGGCGATGGGGACAGGCACAGAGGTTTGGATGCTGCCATATGCCTGGGGATTAGAACCTCTGACGTGGGGGACAGCAGGTTGGTGGCGGGAACTTGCTGCTGGGAGCCTCCGGGGCGCTAGGTGAAGGGTCGGCAGAGAGAAGAGGTGCAGATGGAGGCAGGGGCCCTGTGTCTTTAGCCTCCTGAATGAGGACAGTGGGGAGAGGATGGGAGAGGGACGAATGGATTAGGGGACAGCTGAAGGAGACCAGAGACTGATGGGATTCTGGAGGGGTACAAAAGAGCTGGGGGGCCGAGGCTCAGATTTCTGTCTTAGGAGACTGGGTAGTGGGATGGCATTACCAACGCCCGGAGCTCAGGACAAGGCAGGTTTGGAAGAGGGCAAGCTGGGGTTTGGACTAGAATCTCCTCTCCCCTTGGTGGTGGCAGTGGCAGGCGGAGTGGGTGACACTGTTCTGCCCCACAGGCCTAGTGTCCGTGAGAAACCCTTTTAGCCACCCCAGGTCCAGCCTGACTAATGAGCTGCTGCTGTGGGAAAGACCCGGCACTCCGCCTTCCTCCAGACCCTCCCTGCCCGGCCACCCGCACCTGGGGGAGGGGTCCTGTCTGCCTGTTCCCCTCCTGCCTTTACTGTCCTGGCTACAGAGAAGAGAGAAGGTGAAAGTGGCTGGCCTTGCCCAGCCCAGGCTTGTGCTCAGAGGCGCCCCTCCCCCCTCCCTGGACATAGTGTCATCTAGAACCAGGGACAGGCTGTCTTTCCTCTGCCTGGTGTGCTGAAGGCTAGCGGGCACATTGCCAGCACTTTCCCCAGACCCTTCAGGAAATGCAGCCAAGTCCTGCTTTCTGGAATCCAGCCCACCCAACATGGGGACCACCAGGACCTCCACCCCAGGCCTGGAAAACAGTGGTCAGGCGTTGGGGTGGGAACAGAGGAAATAGTTGTCCTTCCTTGAGCACATTCTCCAGGAGGGGCACCCATTCTGACAGGTGTAGACAGGCAGTCAGAGGCTGGGGGCTACTCACGTGCTCTCTGAAAAGACCCTCAGCTTGGCCAGGGCACCTTAATGTGGCGCCACCTTGCACAGGGCTGTTACCCTCCCCTGCATTTCAGCCTGCGCTGGTGTCTGGGCCTTCCCAGCATGGCATGTCAGATCCCCAGGCCATCCCTGGCCAAGTTCCTGGCCCCAAAGAGGATGGATGATCTTGCCATGGCCTGCCATGGCTGGGGACCCTCACAGAGTCTGGGCAGGCTGCAGGGAGGCCCTGGTCTGGATGCTGCCCTGTGTCACCAGTGGGTCGGGGTCCTGGGGCTCACCCTGACAAGGAGGGAAAGTTGGTCTGGGACACTTTTGTCCACTCAGGGCTTCCTCCTCCTCTTCCCATGCCCCTGTTCCCAGCTTTCACGGCTGCGCCCCACAGACCATATCTCCTTCCCTGCGTGGTGAGGGCAGGTGGACACGGACAGGAGGCACAGGATGACCCTCCTCCCCCGCGTGGTTCAGAGGACAGAACCAGGAAACCTGGCCAGCCCTTCGTCCTTAAGCTCACACAGGATTCTTGTGCCCTTTAGGTGGGGCCGTCCCCAGGGAGGCCCCCCAGCCTGCTGACACCCACACCCACCAGCAGCAGGCGCCTGCCCACTCCTCAGCCCCTGCTGGCGGCCCCCAGGAGCAGGGCCGCCCCCTGCGAGAGAGGCTTGGGCGGCTGGAGGCTGCAGTGATGGAGCTCAGACAGCAGGTACCCTGGAAGCAGCTTGAGCTGGGGGAGGAAGGAGATAAGAGGCTGGGCTTGGGGGACCCAGGCCCTAAAATAGAGTTTTGTTTTAAATGCACATGGAGAGGCTCTTACCTGAATAGTTCTTAACATCAACTCTTTCACACAAATGGAGACCCTCCAGGGTATTTGTTTTGTCACCCAGATTTTCATACTGTTTCTTGGGAAATGTTATGGAGTGATTATATATAAGACATCATCAGGAAAGGTTTTGGATGAGGAAAGAAGTCTTTAACTATTGGGATGGGAAGTTGGGTGCCCATTCTATCCAAAGGAGAGGTCTGGGGGCCCATGATCCCCTGTGTGAGCTGGGCTCTGATGGAGGGGGACCCACCTCTGCTCTGGAGTTGTCAGATTTCCTTCTCGTCCTGCCTCAGTTTTGCACCCACAAATCTGTGGGAGGTGGTGGGGAAGGCTGAGCCAGAGCCTGCCACCCCCTGCCCTCTCCCCCCAGAATGAGGACCTGAAGGCGAGGGTGCAGCGGCTGGAGGCTTGCGAGTGCCACCCGGTGCCTCCCCAGTGCTGGGGGCTGGGGCGCGCCTGGCCTGAGGGTGCCCGCTGGGAGCCTGACGCCTGCACGGCCTGCACCTGCCAGGATGGGGCCGTGCACTGTGGCCCCCAGACCCACCTGCCCCACTGCCATGGTAAGTGCCAGCCCATCCACCAGCTGGGGCCACCTTGGGGCCTGCAGATGGCTCTGGGTGCCTGAGTGACAGTACTGTCTTCTCAGGCTGCAGCCATAATGGTCAGAGCTATGGCAATGGGGAGACCTTCTCCCCAGATGCCTGCACCACCTGCCGCTGCCTGGTGAGCTGCTGTGACCCACCTGGATGTCCCGTGCCTGTCTCCCTCACCTGTTGATACAGCTGGGGTGATAGATGTCACGTAATGGGTCCACCTGCCCTTTCCCTACACCTTGCCTCCATGGCCCTCAGCTGACACCTCCATGCACGCTATGGGGGCCCCCAAACCCCTCGATTTGTATTTGACAAGCAGTGGCATGGAGGGCAGAGGATGTAGTTGGTTGCCTTCGGATATCACTCCCTCACCTGTGTGACCCTCACTGTCCCCACTCTTCCACTGCCCCTGTCATCTACCTCAGCACCCCGCCTGTCTGTTCTCTCTCACCTGGCTCCACGGCCACCTTCTTCTGGCCTTCCCTTCCTCCGTCCTCCATCAAGAAAGCCCTCAGTCCTCTTCCTAGGCTCTCTCCACTCTGGGGAATTGGTGGGCACCTGGAAGAGATGGTTTCCAGGGGTCAGGAGCATCAGGAGATGATGGGGGCAGGGAGGGGGGAGGCGCAGGACGTCTCTATTCTGCCCTTACACCCAGGGTAGCCCACGAACCAAAAGCCAACTCCTCCTCTGGCTCCTCTGACTCATCCCAGCCTGGGTGAGGCTTGGACGCTGGAGGCCCTGCCCTCCGGGCTTCTGAGGCCTGTGCAGCCACCTCATCTGCTTCCCACAGCAGGGAGCCATAGCCTGCACCCAGAAGCCATGCCCAGGAGGACCCTGCCCTGAGCCCGGAGCATGCTGCCCACACTGCGAACCAGGTCAGCCTCCTGCCAGTCCCGCTCCACGTCCTGCACGCACTCTGGGACCCACAGCCATGGTCTGCCACCTGAGAGTGCCCGAGTGTGGGACACCTGCCCACTGCCTCTGACAGCAGCCCATGGCTGCTTGAGCCCGGGCTCAAGTCAGCAGACACCGGCTCTGGCCTGGGACTGGGCCAGACACTACAAGGGAAACAGACAAACCATCTTTTTCCTGCCCTCAGGGAGCTTCTAATCTAGTTGAGAAGATACAGTTCTAACTAATCTAACCCTAGATTTCAGATGCAATGACCGTAGTAAGAGGGGATCCAGAAAGCAGTACAGTACGTGCTTTGCCAGAGCAGGGACAGGAGGGCAGGGAAGGCCATCCAGGTGGTCAGGGTGTCTCTGCAGACTGTGGGTCATTTGAGCCGATCTTCAAGGGAATGTGGGACTTCACCACCCAAAGGAGAGGAAGTACTCGAGGGTCCTCTGGGCACAAGGACAGGGTGGGAAGAGGTGTGCTGCAGGAAGTCAGTCTGGGAAGGGCTGTGGGAACAGGCTGCTCTAAGCCTTGCAGTTTGGGCTTTCTTCTGTGGGCAGTGGGGAGCCACTGAAGGCTGAAGAGCCAGAGTATGGTGTGGTGGAAGAGGTGTTTTAGGAATTTTCATCTGGCATGGGCTAGATGCAGAGAGCCCAGTTAGGGGGCTGCCACAGCATTGTCTAGGCATGGAGCTAGGGGGGCAGAGGGCTGCAGAAAGGGGGGTGTTTCTAAAGAACAAGCAGGAGCTGGTGGCTGTTCAATCCCATGGAATGGTGGAGGCTGAGTTGGGAAAGTAGGAGGGCAGAGGTGCCAGGGGTGTGGAGAGAGCTGAGAGGAAGAGGGGGCCATGGCTGAGCTGGGGTGTTACTGGCCCACGGTGAGGGAGGGGTGCCAGATTTGGCAGATAAAAATGAAGGATGCCTGTCAAATTTAAATTTCAAATAAACAATGCATAAGGTTTTAGTATAAGTATATCCCATGCAATATTGGGAGCATTCTTATACTAAAAATTTATGCATTGTTTATCTGAAATTCAAATTTAACTGGGCGCCCTGGTAGCGTGAAAGGTGAGACAGGACTGAGACCAGCGAGGTCTGGAAGTGCAGCCTGGGCATCTGCACCAGAGATGAGGACTGAAGCCTTGGTAGTTGACAGAACTCAGAGGAAAGGGACACACACAGCTTTCAGGGCATGTGGTGCCTCAGGGCCACTGTTAGCCTATATGTTGCCTTTGGGGAAATGAAAAAGGCATCACTCTCGGGAAGACACTTTATTTCCATCTGTTGTAAAATAATGGAAATATACTATGTTGGAGTCAGGCAGTTTACTGTCATCTGCTGGACAGTTGTAGTATAATAAATATGAAAATCTGCTGACTGCCATCTGAATGGTGCTCCTTTGATGTGGCACCCAGTCTCTCACTTGGGGGCCTGGGTTTGCAGGCTGCCCTGGAGGCCACAGGGCTGGAGAAACATGGCATCCAGAGCCCTGTGTCATCTGCACCTGCCAGGTAAGGGAATTAGGGGCTGGCCCCAGCCACCACCCAGGTCCCTGCTGCTTGGCATAGCCCAGGTCTGGCTGTGCAAGCCCAGTCTGGGAGTGAGATGGGACTGCTGCTGCTGCCCAGGCATCAGGGCGTAGAGCTGCCTAGGCCAGCAGCATAACTGGCTTGGGCAGGGGAGAGGGAGGGAGGGAGAAAGGGTGGGAGGGCTCACTGTCTGCCCTACAGGCAGGGACCGTGCGGTGCCAGGGGCCCTCATGCCCAGAGCTCAACTGCCTGGAGAGCTATACCCCACCTGGGGAGTGCTGCCCTGTCTGCCGGCCAGGTGACCTTCTGCACTGCCCCTCCATCCCCTCAGCCCCAGAAGATCTAGTATCTACTTGGGGTCATGCTTTCCCTTGGGTGACGTCCACCCACCCTGCTCTCTGGTGACCCACCTATCATCCTGGCAACTGTCCCTAGGCTGTGAGTATGAGGGGCAGCTTTATGAGGAAGGGGCCAACTTCCTGTCCAGCTCCAACCCTTGTCTCCAATGCTCCTGCCTGGTGAGTCCACCTGCCACCTCTGCCCAGGCCCTGCTCCTCGTTGGACACCCCTGCCCTTCCCTGGGCCATGCCTGCCACTCTTCCAGCCTCCTCTTATGCCTCCCGAGAGCTGGTGCCAGTGAGGCTCTCTCTCCATCTCTGTCCTGCGCCCCACTCCTCCGAGGGTACCCAACACCTACCCACCATGCCCTCCCTGGGAGCCAGGCCTGCGGGCATCACAGACACTGGTGCATTACAGAGGAGCCTGGTTCGCTGCGTGCCCATCAAGTGCCCACCCAGCCGCTGCCCTGAGCCAGTCCTGAGGCCTGGGCACTGCTGCCCAACCTGCCCAGGTGAGAGCCCCTGGTCCTTGTCTGGTGGAGCCACACATGGGTGTTCATACCATTTCTCAAACCCCAGAGCCACCCTGCTGGCCTCTGTTGGGGTTTGGTCAGGGGGGGAGCAATGCCCATCTAGGCCTATGCTGGAGCTGGAACACATGAGCTCACATTCTGCCCTTGCCACTGTGTCACTTTGTGCTTGTGTATAACTAAGTGACCCCGTGCCTCAGTTTCCCCATTTGTAAGGTGCAGGTGATGATGTCCTATACCTCACAGTACTACTTAGTAAATGTTCATTATCTGCTTTGTGCTCCTCAAACACATAAGACACGGGTCAGCCCTCAAGGATGACACTAGAGTGTGACACTAAGTCACACAAGAATGCAAAATGCTGTCACATGGCAAGGGCTGGAATAGGAGCAGACACCAGGTACCAGGGAGATTCAGAGGAAGGAGACCCGATCCAGCCTGGACACAGCAGGGAAAGCAGCCTTGGGGGTAGTGCTCCTGAGGTGGCCCTTACTGGTGAAGGGCCAAGGAAGGCAGAGGGCGTTCCCAGAAGAGGAACAGCCCTAGCAAAGGCTTGGAACCGGCACAGTGGGGTCGGCGTTAGGCAGGAAGACGCAAGGAGGCATGAATGGAATAGCCAAAGCTTATGTACTGGGAAAGGGCAGGCTAAGGAGTTTGGGCCTCACCCTACCTGGGGCAGTGGGAGCCACAGAGCAGTTTAGGCAGAGCGTGACCCCATCTGGTCTCGGCTCAGGAGAGAGCCAAGGAGGAGGGTGGGGGCAGGCTGAGGGTGGGGATAGGCCAAGGCTGGGGTTCAGGCCTTTCCCACCAGGCCTCCTCTCTGTGCCCCCAATCCCAGGCTGCACAGAAGGTGGCTCTCACTGGGAGCATGGCCAAGAATGGACCGCATTGGGAGACCCCTGCCAGATCTGCAGGTGCCTGGTGAGTGCTGAGGCTGCTCCTGGGCTGTCTCCCCCACCTCCAAGGTCCCTCAGGCCTACCATGTTCATTCCTTCATTCCACTGAACCCATGCCATAGGCACTGGGAGGGGACCAGAGGGAGGACACCTAGTCCTGGGTGCTGGGAGGGTGGGGACTGTATACCCAGCTCTGGGCACAGTAGGTGCTCACAAGCCAAGGGAGGAGAGAGGCGGGGCAGGGTGGGATGGGCCGCAAAAGCTTCAAGGAGGAAGAAACACAGCTGGACTCGCGGCACCTTGTGGCCACTACTGCACATGGCTACTGAGCTCTTGAAATGTGGCTGGTCCAAATTCAGATGTGCTATCAGTGTAAAATACATGTCGTATTTTAAAGACTTAGTACAAAAAAAGGAATGCAAAATATCCCATGAATCCACTATGTTGATTACATGTTGAAATGACATTTTTGAAATATTGGGTCAAACAAAATATATCGTTAAAATCTAATTTCATCTGTTTTTTTGTTTGTTTTTAACTAAAGTAAATGGCATAAGTTGCCTGCATTGTATTTCTATTGGGCAGCACAGATTTATACATCTTCGTGGAGTCGTGCTTACCTAGGCCGTTGAGGACAAGCAGGGTTTGTGCAGGGAGCACTGGGGCAGGTGCCCAGGTACAGGGACAAGGAAGGGCAAAACCTGGGGAGAAAGGTAGGGCCATGTGGGCCCTGATATCCAGGCAGGCACGTGAGGAGGTCTGTGCTCCTGGGGGCTGAAGCCAGCACCTTGGAGCTTCCTGGTAGCCTGCTAAGGACTAAGGACTCTGCTGTGAGGACCATGGGCACCCAACCCCATTGCAACCATGTCCTCCCCCTCCTTGTCCACACTGACACCCCCTCCCCCTGAGAAGACCCTGGTGAGGCAGGAATGTGGGTGTGAATTTGAGGGATAGGTCTGTTTGGGACAGCCCATGGGGGAGTCATCACTGTGTTAAGTACCAGCTTCCAGACACCTTATTTCATTTCACTTCTGTAACTAGCCTACGAGAGCCAATCTATCATTGTCCACATTTTTCAGATGAGTAAACTGAGCCACAGCGAGCAGAAGTGACATGCTAGGCTATAGGTCTGTTTAGCTTCTCGTGGCTGCTGTATCGAAGTATCACGGAGTGGCTTGAACAACGGGAATGTATTTTTTCCCAGTTGTGGAGACCAGAAGTCTGAGATCAAGCTGTTGGCAGAGTTGGTTCCCTCCAAGGGCCGGGAGGGAGGCTGGTGCAGGCCTCTGCCCTGGCGTCTGGTGGTGTGCTGGTGATCGCTGGCAGTGTTGGCTTCTGCAACACTCAGATCTCTGCCTCCCAGTGCGTGTGCCTGTGTCCAGATTTCCCCCTTTTAGGACACCAGTCATATTGGAGGAGGGTTCCACCCTAGTCCAGTATGACCTCATTTTAACTAATTACATCTCCAACAACCTTATTTCCAAATAAGGTCACATTCTGAAGTCCTAGGGGGTTAGGGCTTCAATATATGAATTTGTAGGGGGATGCAATTCAACCCATAACAACATCTAATAAGTGGATAGCTGGGATTTGAACACTGTTTCTGCCCCTTGGCTGAGCCCTGACAGCCCCTTCGCCTGCCCACCCTCCCCCCACCAGGAGGGCCACATCCAGTGCCGCCAGCGGGAATGCACCAGCCTGTGCCCGTACCCTGCCCGGCCCCTCCCGGGCACCTGCTGCCCCGTGTGTGATGGTGAGTTGTGGGTGGAGCAGCGTCCTGAGCTCAGAGGGCACCCTGGTGGCTCAGAGAGCTGAGGGCTGCCCAGCTCGGGTCTCCCACGAAGGCAGGAGTGGGCAGTGAGGGTCCTTGGGGACATCTGAGGCACCTCTTCCCAACAGGCTGCTTCCTGAATGGGCGAGAGCACCGCAGCGGGGAGCCCGTGGGCTCCGGGGACCCCTGCTCCCATTGCCGCTGTGCTGTGAGTGTGGCTGCCTGGCGGGGGCTTGGGGGGCTGGCATGGGGGGGTGGCTTCCCGGCCTGCCTCTCACCGTCCATTTGCAATAGAACGGGAGTGTCCAGTGTGAGCCTCTGCCCTGCCCGCCCGTGCCCTGCAGACACCCAGGCAGGATCCCTGGGCAGTGCTGCCCGGTCTGTGACGGTGAGTGAGGGTCAGGGTCACTGCGGGAAGGCAGACACTGGCCTGAGAGAGGCTCCAGGTGTGGGGGGTTGCTTCCCTTGGACCTAAGCACCTGTTCCTACAGGTGAGTCCTCACCTCACCTTCTCGTGGCAGATAACACCGTGGCAGGCCACACTCTGTGGTGTGTTGGGGGGGACCCGCGGGGCCTGCTGGAGGATTTGGGTGGGTCCTTGTGAGGGTTTCGGGGAAGCCTTGGGGTGGCATGAGGCTCCCCCTCGGCCTCCAGCCCTGTGCCGCCATCATCCTGTGCTCCCATCCAGGCTGTGAGTACCAGGGACACCAGTACCAGAGCCGGGAGACCTTCAGACTGCAAGAGAGTGGCCGCTGCGTCCGCTGCTCCTGCCAGGTAGGCAGTGCCGCATTCTCACGCCCGCATCTGGCCCGTTCCTTGAAGGTCTCTCACGGGGTCTCCCTCCTAGGCTGGCGAGGTCTCCTGTGAGGAGCAGGAGTGCCCGGTTGCCCCCTGTGCCCCGCCTGCCTCCGGCCCCCAGCTCTGCCCAGGTGTGTGTGTTTCGGGGCAGGAAGCGCTGCCTCCGCAGGGCTGGGGGTGGAGGGTGTCCCTTCCCTGCAAGGGGAAGGGGGCTGCTAAGTCCACTAGCCATTGTGCAGTGTGTTCAGAGGCTCTGGTGGGGATGGTGAAGCCAGGGTCCCCATGCTCTGGGAAGGACAGGGATGGGCAGGAGGTGTTCGGTTGCTCTGTGACACCCTTCTTACTGTAGCCTGCGTGCTGGATGGAGAGGAGTTTGCCGAGGGCGTCCAGTGGGAGCCTGATGGCCAGCCCTGCACTACCTGCTCCTGTCAAGATGGGGAGCCTGTGTGCGGAGCTGTGCCCTGCCCCCCAGCCCCCTGCCAGAACCCCACCCAGCACCCTGGTGAGCACCCAGGCCCATCCTGGCTTCCTTCCCCCGCTTTTTGGGCCCGCCCTGACCAGCCTGCGCCACCCAGGTGCCTGCTGCCCCAGCTGTGAGAGCTGCACCTACCACGGCCAAGTGTATGCCAATGGGCAGAACTTCACTGACGCAGACAGCCCTTGCCACACCTGCCGCTGCGAGGTACCTCCCGAGGCTTGGTGCCCCGTGCAGAGCCCCTCCCGGGCCCACCCCCATTGCTGTCTCCCCTGCTCCAGGATGGGACTGTGAGGTGCTCCTTGGTCGACTGCCCTCCCACAACCTGTGCCAGGCCCCAGAGTGGACCCGGCCAGTGCTGCCCCAGGTGCCCAGGTATGGTTTACTGTGCTGGGTGGCTGGGGATCCTGCTGTCCCATGGCCCCGTGGGCCAGCAGGTATCTTAGAAACCAATGGCCTTCTGAATCATTTTCAGTCTCACACAGCTTAGAACTCTCTGGAACACACAGGTTGTGGGTGGGAGAGCAGAGATTTGTTATCCTTTCGTGTTCCTACACTACCCTCCCCTCCCATCCTCAGTTTCCTCTTCCAGTACCCGCCTCCTGGCCCTGTACACCTGTACCTGTAGAACACAGCTTCATGCAGCAAAGTTTGAGCCCGCCATGTAGGAGATTGGGTGCTGCGTGCATGGCACATGTCCCTGCCCAAATGGAGACTACAGGGTGTGTCACACACACAGGCACACACGTGTAATCTTCGGTCTTCCCTTCAGAAACACACACGCCCCTGCAGGTCAATGGCCTCAAATGCACACACACAGGCATGAGCTCAGAAGCACGTGCATGCCTGCACACGTGTGTGCACAGCCCCCGCCTGCTCTCCCTCTGCACGGACAGCTTCCACCTGGGCACTTTCGCAGTGTCTCTGGGCTCCAGGGGTGGAGGGACTGTCAGGCTGTGCTCCCATTCCTGCCCCTACTGGCCTTGCCCAGACTGCATCCTGGGGAAACAGGCGTTTGTGGACAGCGAGAGGTTCTCTCACCCCGGAGACCCCTGCCAGGAGTGCCAGTGCCAGGAAGGCCATGCCCACTGCCAGCCTCGCGCCTGCCCTAGACCCCCCTGTGCCCACCCGCTGCCTGGGACCTGCTGCCAGAACGACTGCAGTGGTGAGGTGCACGGGATGGGGGCGCCCTGCGGTGGCTTGGCCCCAGGATGGCAGCATGGCCATGGTGGGAGAGGGAGTGGCTCTCTCCAGGCCCACAGCTGCCCATCCCCCAGGCTGTGCCTTCGGAGGGAAAGAGTACCCCAACGGAGCGGACTTTCCCCACCCCACTGACCCCTGCCGTCAGTGTCGCTGTCTGGTGAGTCTGCGACCTGGATAGCAGGAGCCCAGGGACGTGGAAGTGGGACCTGGGGGAGGCCAGGAGAGGGCCACCGAGATGCGGGTGGGAGCAGTGGTCTCCTGGGCCTCCCACCACCAACCCGGCCTGGCGTGGCCCATCTGTCCATCCGCAGAGCGGCAACGTGCAGTGCCTGGCCCGCCGCTGCCCGCCGCTGTCCTGTCGCGAGCCGGTCCTGCCGCCGGGGGAGTGCTGCCGGCAGTGCCCGGGTAGGAGCCGCCCCCTCGGCCCGCCGCTCCTCCCGAGCCCCCTCGCGGCCTGTTCCTGCGGCTCCTTGACCCGCGCTCTCGCTGCAGCCGCCCCTGCCGCCAGCTGCCCGCAGCCGGGCGGCGCAGTGCCCGCGCGCCACCTGGAGCACTTCTCCCCGCCCGGCGACCCCTGCCGCCGCTGCCTCTGCCTCGACGGCGCCGTGTCCTGCCAGCGGCTGCCCTGCCCGCCCGCGCCCTGCGCCCACCCGCGCCAGGGGCCCTGCTGCCCCTCCTGCGACGGTATCGCCCCGCGGCGCCCCTCCCGCCCGGCAGCCCCCTGCCCAGTCCCCGCTCGCCCTGCCTGCCCCGGCTCCCCGGGCCCGCCCCTCTTGGGTCAGGCTCCCATTAAAAATGCACGGACAGTGTCCTCAGCAGGGCCTGGGAGCCACCCCACGCCCCCAGCCCGCCGTTCTCCGCAGGCTGCCTGTACCAGGGGAAGGAGTTCGCCAGCGGGGAGCGCTTCCCATCGCCCGCCGCGCCGTGCCACGTCTGCCTGTGCTGGGCGGGCGGCGTGAGCTGCGAGCGCAGGGCTTGTGCCCCCGCGCAGTGCCCCTTCCCCGCCAGGGGCGACTGCTGCCCAGCCTGCGACGGTGAGCGTCAGGGGCCTGCGGACTGAAGGGTGGGGTGACAAGAGGCCTGGGTTAGAGTCATCTTTACTGACCTAGACTGGATCTAAAATACTTATTACAATAAGAGAAAAGCCTGAAACTGAAGCCTAGATTTTCTCCTGCCTCTGGTGCTATTTGGCTGTGTGGCCTTTGGCAAGTTACATCACCTCTCTGGGCCTGATTTTAACTCCTGTAAAAAGAGAGAGTTGAACCAGCCCCAGTTCCCCAGTCTTCCCTCACACTTGTACTATCTAGCAATTTTGGCCATATCTGCTCTACCAACTGTAATTTTATCCATTTGGTATTTTTCTTCAAATTAACTCACTAATTTAAATTTATTTAGAAAGGAGTTTTATGTCAGACTGTAAATAGAAAACTAGACTTGCCAGGAATAGATTACCATAAAATTGAATACAATTAAAAACATATCATTAAATTCTAGTCACATACTTTTGCGGCAGCCGGCTAAGGCTTTGCGCCTGAGGCTTGCCCTCTCTTTTTTAAAGAGGTGAGCAAGCCCCCACCGGGACACGCCCTCCTTGATTAATCCGAGGGCCTGAAGGAGTGCTGGGAAGGGGATACCTGGGTCACTGAGCCTGCCGGGGCCACTCCAGCTCTCCTGTGGCTGGGAAAATTGGTGCCTTCTGGCAGTGCCTGCTGAGTATTTAACCCTGGGGACAAATTCCTTGTGGGTTTTTTCCTACACATTGGACAGAGAGATATTTTGCAGGCTGTCGGGAGAAAGTTTGCCCTTTGGCCAGTGCAAACCCTGTCCCACTTGAGACTCTTTTGCCTCCTGGGCCTGGACTGTGCCCTCCTCTCCTGCCAGGTGCTAGACCTTTGAGGTGGTGGATGCATGCCCGGTCCCAGCTCACAGCCATGACTGTGTCCCTCCCTTTTTGCCCCTCCTCCCTGCCGCTGGCTCCTGTCTGGAAGGCTGTGAGTACCTGGGTGAGTCCTACCTGAGCAGCCAGGAGTTCCTGGACCCTCAAGAACCCTGCAAACTGTGTACCTGCCTTGGAGGCTTTGTGACCTGCAGCCGCCGGCCCTGTGAGCCTCTGGGCTGCAGCCACCCCGTCACCCCGTCTGGGCACTGCTGCCCCACCTGCCAGGGTAGGGCCACACGTCCCCTTCCATCCCCCTTCTGGGGCTCCCAGGGACCTCCTGCTCCCACATCAGCCCACCCTTGAGATAGACAGCCACCCTAGTCTTTCCCCAGCACCCACCCCACTCCTCTCACACCATCCACGCCCTCCTCTGTCCCTGCTGTCGCCTCACACTTGTTGCACTCACCAAACAACTGGTCCTCTGGCTTCCATATCTTCCTGCTCTGTAATTGTCCCTCTGCCTTCCTAAAGGATGTCCCCATACTCAAAACCATTCACTGGCTCCCCTTGCCCCGGAGTCACCAATCCGGAGTGGTAACCTCCTTCTTCTCCTGGCTTCCTCAGCACCATCCTCCCTGGCACAGCCCACCTCGCCTGGGTTTCCAGGTGTGCCCGTTCCTCCCTCTCCTCTCCCCACACCGGCCCACCTGGGCAGTATGTTCCCAGCAGTCTCGGCCCCATGTCCTCCCTGCGCTCCTTCCACTCTTACTGCCTGGAGAGCTGCCCTTCATTTGCCATCTGTGGCCACTGCCTTTCCTCCCAGCCCCCACTGTCCCTGCCATGCCAGGCTATGCTTCTCTCTCCATCTCTGACTCCCTGGGCTTTGGCAGAGGTCCCCAGCTTTGGCAGAGGTCCCCACTGTGTGTGTGTGTCCAGTGGGGGCTCTCCATTGAGGGCGGCCCTCCTATTGTGTTCCCCACTCTGCCAGGATGCCTGTACCACGGCGTCACCGCTGCCCCCGGAGAGACCCTCCCTGACCCGCTTGACCCTGCCTGCTCCCTCTGCACCTGCCAGGTGAGGCGACCCCTTTGGGAACATGGCAACCTTTCATCTCTTGATCGTCCTCTCTGGCCAGAATGGGGCTGTCTCTTCTACCTATGTCCCAAGGGGTACATGCTGCCTGTGACATCTTGTGGGACAGGACTGGGTTCCGGCCTCCTGGGCTAAGGGAGTGGGGGTTTGAGCGTGGCAGGCCCAGGAGGCGTGCCCACCGTGGGGCAGGGTGTAGCCTGGTTTGAGGGTGTGAGAGAGTGACTTGAGAGTCAGAAGTGGCAGCATGACCTCTCTCCCCTAGGAAGGTTCCATGCACTGCCAGAAGAAGCCATGTCCCCCAGCTCTCTGCCCCCACCCCTCTCCAGGCCCCTGCTTCTGCCCTGTGTGCCACAGTGAGCTGCCTTCCATGTGCCCCAGCCCCAGCCCTTCCCCGCCTCTCTCCCCTCCTTCCCTCCCTCCCTGCCAGGCCTGAGGTTGGGCAGAGCAGGGCAGGGAGCACAGGCCCACCACCTAGGAGGAGTGTCCCCCACAGGCTGCCTCTCTCAGGGCCGGGAGCACCAGGATGGGGAGGAGTTTGAGGGGCCTGCAGGCAGCTGTGAGCAGTGTCGCTGTCAGGTATGGCGGGGAGGGCGAGGCGAGGGCTGGCCCCATTGTCTCTGGGCCCTGGGCGAGGCTGCAAGCCACTGACCTGCATCTGCCTCTCCTGCAGGCCGGCCAGGTCAGCTGTGTGCGGCTGCAGTGCCCACCCCTGCCCTGCCCGCTGCAGGTCACAGAGCAGGGCAGCTGCTGCCCTCGCTGCAGAGGTACACCCTGCCCCCACACTGGCCCTCCCTTCAGGCCCGGGGCCCCATGTCCCACCTGGAGTTTGCCACCTTCCTGACCCCTGCCTGCCTTCAGCTTCTCCTACTTCTCCCCGCCCCGCCTGCCCAGCCCAGCCCCCTCCCATGTGTTGGTTACAGTCCCCTCAAAGCTGCTCCTCTTCCTCACCACACCCCGTTCATAACGATAATATTTAACATTCAGTGAGTACAGAGCATGCCAGGGCCCCAAACTAAGCACTTTACATATATTATCTCATTTAATCAGCACAACAATCTCATCAGGCCTGGCATGGTGGCTCATGCCTGCAATCCTAGCACTCTGGGAGGCCAAGGTGGGAGGATCGCTCAAGGTCAGGAGTTCGAGACCAGCCTGAGCAAGAGCGAGACCCTGTCTCGACTTAAAAAAAAGAAAGAAATTATATGGACAACTAAAAAAAATATATAGAAAAAATTAGGCAGGCATGGTGGTACATGCCAATAGTCCCAGCCACTCGGGTGGCTGAGCCCAGGAGTTTGAGGTTGCTGTGAGCTAGGCTGATGCCACCGCACTCTAGCCTGGGCAACAGAGTGAGACTCTGTCTCAACCCCTCCCCCCAAAACAAAAAACAATCTCATCAGATAAGTACTGCTATCACTCCCATTTTGCAGATGAGAACACCGAGATGCAGGGAGATAACTTGCCTGTGGTCACTCAGCTAGAAGGTCACTCGGCAGAGTCAAGATGGGATCCAGGCCATCTGGCTCCAGAGCATGAGCCTTTCTTAGCTACCTGCTGCCCCTCGCCCCACACATGGCCCCACATGATGTCACTTCCACAAAACCATCACAGCATCTCACTTGTCCTGGGAGGAGGGCAGGACAGATGAAATCCCTATTTAACAGCTGAGGAGACTGAGGCTTGACAACATTGAGTTACCTGGGGCACATGGTTGGTGATGGAGCGATTCATTCATTCCACGTGCATTAATTCCACGCCTGCTGCATGCCAGGGCTTGTGTCTGGTGCTGGGCAGCATGGACGGTGCCTACTGCCAGAGCTTGGTCTAGCAGGCAGGCAGGTGTGGAACAGGATTAGAACCTAGGTGTTCCAACCCCAACTAGTGTCCTTCCCCTCCACAGACAGGAGTTCTGTGCCCTCGCCTTCCTGTCACATCCCACAGACCCCCTCCTGGTACCCACATACCTGGCTGACCACCCTGGGTCAGGGGGTCAAGGGCAGATGTCCAATCCCAGGCTCCAGGCTTACCGCTGCCCACCTTGGCCCACAGGCTGTCTGGCTCATGGGGACGAGCACCCTGAAGGCAGTAGCTGGGTGCCCCCTGACAGCCCCTGCTCTTCCTGCGTATGTCACCAGGGCGTTGTCACCTGTGCCCGAGTCCAGTGTGTCAGCTCCTGCACCGAGCCCCAGCAGGGGCCTGGTGACTGCTGCCCTCGATGCTCTGGTACCGGAAGCCTGGGGTGGGGAGGGTGCACCCAGATCCACACGCCCCTGCCTTAGAGCTGGGCTGGGTGGCAGAGTCCAGGAGAAGTGGCCTCCGTTCTCGTACACACCCCAATCCCTGGGGCAGGGGGAGGCTGGGGCGGAGGGCCCCACCCTGGCATTGTGCCAGCCTTAAGGCCACTGGTCCTGTTCTGCTCTCTCCCCACCCCCTGAGACTGCGAGCACGAGGGGCGGAAGTATGAACCTGGGGAGAGCTTCCAGCCTGGGGCGGACCCCTGCGAAGTGTGCATCTGTGAGGTAGGGGGAGCGCCCAGCTGGGGGCCGGGCTGAGGGGAGGAGGCAGGCAGCCGAGTGAGGTCCAGCCATGCTGGACACTGCGTGGAGCAGGCACGTGGGGGCTCAGAGATAGCAGGGCCAGGAGGCGTGGGTCTAGATGTGGACAGGGGTTCAGAGTGCCAGGGAGCAGGTGACAGCCCCTCCTGGCAGAAGCATGGGGCAGAGTAGATGGGGGTCACATTGTGAGATTCTATTTGGAAGGTAAAGGTGAGCATGGAAGGGTTTTGAGCAGGTGAATGACGCCACGGGTCAGGTTAGGTAGCGGGCTGCGGCAGAATGTCCTGACAGTACAGGAGGGTCCAAGGGCACATGAGGGTTTAGGCCCCAGTGACTGGGAAAAGAGGGGGACATCGTCTCTGGGGATTAAGGCACCAGGTGAGGAGCAAGTCTAGATGACACTGAGGCGCATCCCGGGAGGGTACAACAGGCCGCTTGGAGGGACCTGAGTCCCATGAAAGGGAAGGGGCGACTCTTGGCGTTGATGGGTTCATGGCCCAAGACCCACCCCTGCTCACTTATTCTCATAGCTGCACCCCGAGGGGCCTCCCAGCCTTCGCTGTCACCGGCGTCAGTGTCCCAGCCTGGTGGGCTGCCTCCCCAGCCAGCTCCTGCCCCCTGACCCCCAGCACTGCTGCCCCACCTGTGCCCGTGAGTCCAGGGGTGTAGGGGTAGATATGTGGGAGGGCTGCCACCCCCAGCCGGCTCTCTGCCCCAGCCCTTTCCTGACTCCAGTGGCCTGTTCTGGAAGCCCATGCCCCGGCGAGTGAGGCCTGCGCCATCCCGAAGGGAGCTGGGGACCACGCAGGCAGGGACCCCTTGCCTCCCTGAAGTGGGTGCAGTTTGTGGATCATCTTGCCCAGCAGGTGGCGCTGCAGGGTGGCAGTTGTGCTGAGATGTCAGGACCAGATGGCCCAGAGTGGCCCTGCAAGGGTGGGGAAGCTATGCTTGATATTTTAGAATAAAGATTTAAGATTGATCATTCTCCAAGATCCATGTGAAGAAAAAGGGGGAAAAAAAGAAAAAGAAAGAAAAGAAAAAAAAGATTTAAGATTGGGGTAGGAGTAAAAAACAGCTACATTTTTTTATTAGAAATATGGAAAGACAGCCAATTTCTGTTTCCCATATTTAATACTTGTGGCTTACCCAACACCGTCATTTCACATTTGCTGTGGGGGCAATTGTTTCAGCTTCTAGTCGTTCACCGGCACTGAAATAATCACCTAACTTTGTAACGTAGGCTAATGTTGTTCTCCATATAAAATATATTCTTTCCATGATAATAATCACACTCTGATCCTCCTTTTTTTTCATTTTTTTTTATTGTGGTAAATACAAATAAAATACACAGAAAAATTTACCATCTTAGCTATTTATAAGTGTCCGGTTCAATGGTGTTAAATATATTTGTAATGCGGTGCAGCCATCGCCACCATCCCTGGGAGAGCTGCTGTGATCAACATTTGCTAGAATGTGCATCAGGGGAAGGGAAGACGACTTTAACATTTATTAACCACCTAATACATGCCAGACACTATGCTTGGTGCTCTTAATAAACAGAATCTCATTTAATGTTCACAGTTACCCAGTGAGGTAAGTATTATTCCATTTTTACAAGTGAGGAAATGGAGGCTCAGAGAGGTGGATTAATTTGCCCAAATTGGCCCGGGCACTGAGTGCTGGCGCCAGGATTAGAACCTGGGACACCTGGCTTTGTGCTGTTTTACCAGACTTTTGCAGGAAGTGGAAGAGAGAGCAAGCCAGGCTGCCTGGCCATTCTTAGTGACCTCAGGCCAAGGAAGCCACACTTTGTCTGTTTCCAGGCCCCCCACCCTAATAGCTTAGCAAAGCTTCTTTTTAAAAGTCTAAACTTTGCTCAACTGGAGGGAAAGAGGACCTCTCCTCCCTGGAGTCAAGGTGCCGGGGATATGAGTGTGCCCTGGGCCCAAGAAGTCTGGGGAAACAAGGGGTGGGGACAGCTGCAATTCTAACCCCTGCCCCGTCTTTCTGTCCTTGCTCTGGGTTCTTGTCTTCACAGAGGCTCTTAGAAACTGCTCAGAGAGCCTGCTGGGGTCTGAGCTGGCCCCACCAGACCCCTGCTACACATGTCAGTGCCAGGTGAGCCCTCCTACCTTGGGGACTCTCAGAGCTCCCTCTTCCTCCTCCTCTATGGGCTCCAGCTGCTGCTGCTCTCGTGCAGCAGCTCCGGGGCTCTCCATTTGCCCACTTGTCCTGACTGTCACATCCCACCTGCAACCTGTTCACAACCGTGCCCTGCTGCTTCTACCACCTCCTGGAGAGCTGCTATTCCCCACTTACTGTGTTCACAGGACCTGACATGGCTGTGCATTCACCGGCCCTGTCCTGAGCTCAGCTGTCCCCTGCTGGAGCGCCACACCCCCCCTGGGAGCTGCTGCCCCATGTGCCGGGGTAAGTGGCCAAGAGGGAGACGGGGGGGGGGGAGGGGGGGCATTTGTGGGCCATGTGGGCATCCCAAGTCAGCACTCAGAATGCAGAGTTCATTCTGTGGTAGAAATGGAGGGGCTGTTCATCGGGGTGCAGAAGAGACCCAAGAGGCAGAAGGAGGCAGGGATGAAGCCTGGGTTCTCAAGGCCTGGCTTGAGGTTTGTCAGGGGCACCAGGACGCCAGGTACATTAGTAGGGCATTGTACTGCTGAGTGGGCAGCCGGCTCAGAGGTGGGTCCCAGGCTCTGGCTCTCTAGGTTTCTAGGACGCTGCAGACACCCCAAGCACTAGTGCAAGGCCCTCTGGATGCTGGGAGAAGAAAGGAGCACCATCAGGGTGCCAGGGGAATGGGGCGGGTGCTTCCCTACTGTGAAGCTCAGGGTGAGCTCCAGGGAGGGAGGGTGCAGCTGGGAGGGTATGCCTGCCCATCCCATTTCTTCCTCCTTAGAATGCGTGGTGGAGGCCAATGGCCGGAGAGTGGCAGATGGTGACAGCTGGCAGGACCCCAGCAGTGCCTGCATTGCTTGCACCTGCCGTGTCAGTGGGAAGTGGGGGTGGGAGGGTGGAGGGCCTCATAGATGAGCAAAGGGAGGAGCATTCAACACTCTACCGGCAAATATGGGGTCTTTGAGGGGCAGAGGCTTCCCGGTGTGGCGCAGGGAGCTGCGGGCTGCGTTTCACCCCCCACCTGAACGGTGCAGTGGATGTTCTCATGGGCAGAAGGGGCTGCTGCCTCAGACCACGCCCAGAAGGCCCCCAGGAGTGTGAGGCAGGGACCCCAGGAAATCCCAGAGCTATGATGTCTGTCCTCAGCGGGCCACGTGGAGTGCCACCTGGAGGAGTGTTAGGCCCTCTCCTGCCCCCGGGGCTGGGCGAAGGTGCCCCAGGCTGGCAGCTGCTGTGAGCGATGCCAAGGTTAGGGCCAGGACCATGGGGGAGGGGTAAGTCAGACCTGGAGTGTGGGAGGGGGCAGCTGACCCTCCCTGTCTTCCTGTCCCCTCAGCCTCCACCGAGTCGTGCGTACATCAGGGCAGAGAGGTGGCCTCTGGGGAGCGCTGGGCCGTCGACGCCTGCACCAGCTGTTCCTGCGTGGCGGGCACCGTACGCTGCCAAAGCCAGCGCTGCCGGCAGCTCTCTTGTGGCCCCGTGAGTGCCGAGGTCTAAGGCTGTGGGGGCAGGGTAGAGGACATGTGACACCGACGTCCCACGGGGCCAGGCGTGGGAGAGGGAGGCTGGGCTCCGCAGCAACCAGAGAGCCGTAGGGCCCGGGCTGGTGCTGTTCCCGGTGCGGCCACGAGGTGGTGCCCTGACCCTGCTCGCAGGGAGCCCGAGAGCCCGGGAGCCTGAGTCCCCAGACCCCTGGAGACACCTGGGCGGTGCTCGGTCCTCTGGGAGGGTCTGCGAAGGGCCTGGCAGGGAGAGCGGTGTGTCTCACGGTGTCTGGGGCTGAGGCCAGGACGAGGCCCCTGCCCTGAGTCCCGGCAGCTGCTGCCCCCACTGTCTGCCCCGGCCGGCTACCTGCATGGCCTTCGGAGACCCGCATTACCGCACCTTCGACGGGCGCCTCGTGCACTTCCAGGGCAGCTGCAGCTACGTGCTGGCCAAGGACTGCCTCGGCGGGAACTTCAGGTGCACACCCCACCCCCCTCCTCCCTAACCCCTGCACCCGGCCTAGCTCACCATTGGCACCTGGGCCTTTCCTGCACACAGTGTGCATGTGACCAATGATGACAGAGGTCGAATCAGCGTGGCCTGGACCCAGGAGGTGGCGGTGCTGCTGGGAGACGTGGTGGTGCGGCTTTTGCAGGGCAGAGTGGTCACGGTGAGCAGAAATGAGGTACCAGGAAAGGTCGGTCCTGTGCTGTCCACCCCTGGGCCCCAAGGTCGCCCCTCCTCCCACCTCCCTTTTCTTTCAGGTGGATGGGCGCCTGGTGGCCTTGCCCTTCCTGCAGGAGCCACTGCTGTACGTGGAGCTGCGGGGACAAACCGTGATCCTGCATGGCCAGCCCGGGCTCCAGGTGCAGCTGTGGGCCTGGAAACCTCGATCCTGTTTAGGCTTCTGTATCTAAACAGAGGGAGTGGGGGTGCTAGCTACCTCCCTGGCCCAGACAAGCCACGGAGGGGAGGGAGTGCTACTTGATCCCCAAGACAGGGAGCAGAGAGCTGGGGGGCAGCTGGAGGAGTTCTGAGCCTGGTTTCTAATCTTGGCTCAGCCACCCACACACTGGGGTTCTTAGGCAGGTCCCAACCTTCTCTGGGCCTCAGTTTTCTCATCAGTTAAATGGGGGAGGGGTTAGTGGGGATGGGAAGGATGTCAGTTAAGGTCTCCTAGGTGGTGTCTGAGCTTCCTTCCAACTCTTGTGGGGAAGGGTAATTTGCCTCCCTGCCCTGAGCAAGAATCAACTTGTAAATTCATAAAATTAGTCTTGTCCACACTTCTAATCCAGACTTTCATTGTGCTTTGTCCTATGTAAGGACTCAATGCCTACAAGAAAGTGAATCCCTGGAGTGGGTTGCATTTCACCCAGGGCCCAGTTCAAGGACGCTGACAGGAGAAGGTGCCCCCATGCACGAGCTGTAGGCAGGTCCTCCTGTCATCTGTCTTTGTCCAGGGCTGGCACAGCATGTGCCCTTTGGCCAAGACAGTGTCCCTTCCAAGGGGAGCCTCCCCTGTCCATTCCCCTCCCTTCCAGCACAAAGCGTGCTGACACAATGCATGGGGCCATGATGACCCTGGGGCTCTTGGGGTCCCTATCCTTGCCCACACCCCAATCCCAGGCCTTTCTGCACAGGTGCTGTGGGATGGGCAGTCCCAGGTGGAGGTGAGTGTGCCCGGCTCCTACCGGGGCCAGATGTGTGGGCTCTGTGGGAACTTCAATGGCTTCGCCCAGGATGATCTGCAGGGCCCTGAGGGGCTGTTCCTGCCCACGGAGGCCGCCTTTGGGAACAGCTGGCAGGTGAGTGGCACAGGAACTGGGGATGGGGGTGGAAGGCACATCTGAGCATGGGTCTCAGAGCAGCCCCTGGTTTGGAAAGGCAGTTGAGGAGTCACACAAGATGGCTTTTGAGTTTTCAGGGAGGTTCAAGGGCTTTATGGTGCTGAAGGAGGCCAGGTGGCCTGTTGAAAGAGGTGTCATCACCTTAAACATCAAGCCCTGCTTAGCCACTCACTGGCTGTGTGACCTTGGTCAAGTTACTTACCTACTCTGGGCCTTGATCTGTCCATCTGTAAACTGGTGACAAGGAGAAAGCAGGCGATCCTTCCTTTGCTGTTCTTGCAGGCAGATTTTTGAGACTAAAACAAATCACTGGGTGGGAAGTGCTTTGAAGAACATAGCACATAAAGGTCAGCTGCCAGAGGTGCTGTCACATCACAGGCACTATCCCCCTAGGTCCCAGAGGGGCCAGGGCCTAGCCGGCCCTGTTCCGCAGGCCAAGAGGTGGATCCGTGCCGGGCAGCAGGTTACCGTGCCAGGCGTGAGGCCAATGCCCGGTGTGGGGTGCTGAAGTCCTCCGCGTTCAGTCGCTGCCACGCTGTGGTGCCCCCAGAGCCCTTCTTTGCTGCCTGTGTGTATGACCTTTGTGCCTGTGGTCCTGGCTCCTCAGCCGACGCCTGCCTCTGTGATGCCCTCGAAGCCTATGCCAGTCACTGTCGCCAGGCAGGAGTGACACCTGCCTGGCGGGGGCCCACGCTCTGTGGTGAGGGGGTGATGCCAGGTGCAGGTTGGGGGAGGCGCTGCACAGACAGGAAGGGCAGCCTGGGGGCTCAGGTCTGGACAGGGTGGGTGCAGGGAGTCCCCAAGGGGTGAGCACAGCAACTGGAGCAGTGTCCAGGGGCCCTGGTGACTCTACCTTCCACTCTGCCTGCAGCAGTGGGCTGTCCCTTGGACCGTGGCTTTGTGTTCGATGAGTGTGGCCCGCCCTGTCCCCGCACCTGCTTCAACCTGCACGTCCCCCTGGGGGAGCTGGCCGCCCACTGCGTGAGGCCCTGCGTTCCCGGCTGCCAGTGCCCTGCAGGCCTGGTGGAGCATGAGGCCCACTGTATCCCACCCGAGGCCTGCCCCCCAGTCCTGATCACTGGGGACCAGCCACTCAGCGCTCTGCCCAGCCCCAGCCGGGAGCCACAGGGGACGCCCTGAGCCAGGACGACACCCACCCAGGACTCATCAGCCCAGAAGTCTCCCCTTGGTGAGCAGCTCCCACCCTGGTTGGGGCTGCGAAGAGAGTGCCCCGCTGGGCACTGGGCGCCTGGGCCCTTCACACACCCCAGCTGTGTCGAGCCACAAGCAGTAAACTCTGGGCCTGTGGAAGGCTTCCTTGTGTGTGTGTGTTTCCTCCTGGTGCTGGGATGGAGGCTGGGCTGCTTGGAACATGGAGTCCAGTGGTCAGTGTCCCCAGAATCAGGGGGCCTTGCTCACTCCTTGTGCCTGCATGCCTGGGTTGCCCCAACTGGCTGCTCCCTGGTGCTGTCTGGGAAACTCTGCGACAGGCAGAAGGAGGACCCAGGTGTCCTGGTCCCAGCTCACTCTGTGTAGCAGGCATGGCCACGGCCCCAACGTGGGAGCCCCGGTGGACCCATGTGGGATCCCTCAGGGGCCGAGAAGCCACAGAGAGGGGCTCGATCTGCTGGCCTCCCTTTTCCTCTTGGTTTGGTGGCACTGAGTGTGGGTGCCTTCTGGACCACTCTAAGAGCTGGTGATACAGGGACTTATGCCTGGCAGGGGGCGTGGCAGGAGAGACAATAGACCATGATGCACTGTGGACACATGCATGTACACACACACACGCCTCAGAACCCCAGAGAGACACAAGCGACACGTCCCGCACACCTGCCTGCGCTCACAGCAGCACCTGCCTGGGGGGCGTGTGGGCCATAGACACTCATGCAGCTCGTGAAAACTTCATCGTAGGGGAGAAAACATGGTGTTTTTTTAAAAAAAAAACTTATAAAGAAAAAGAGTTTATTTCTTACAGTCATGAAGGCTGAAAAATCCAAGGTCAAGGGCTCTATCTGGTGAGATCCTCCTCGCTGGTGGCAGTCCCGAGGTGGCACAGGGTATCACACAGTGAGGGGACTGAGTGCGCCTGAGAACACGGGTTTTGAGATAGAAAAAGTCCAGAATTTGAGTTCTCTTTGCCATGTACTAGCTGTGTGACCTGGGAATTTTAGGCCCCATGGCACAGGCAGCCATGCCTGGGGGCATTTTAGGACTTTTAGGGATCAGAGACTCCATTCTCTTTGCTAGGCCCCCGATATCCCAACAGGGAGTGAAGGGCTCTGTGCTCAGGAGAGGTCGCCGCCGAGCACTGGTCACCCGCCCGGCATGCTCAGGCCTCTTTCGCGGAGGCTGTTCTCTCTTGGGGCCCTCAGAGGAGAGTTTGCTCCGTTCTGTCCTGGAGCAGGGACAGAGCAGGCAAAGCTACTCATGACAACGCCGGGTGTAAAGGTGGCAGGCCCTCTCCTGCACTCAGTCCTGCCCTTATTATGCAAACTTTTCTCGTGTGTAAAATGCAGACGATAGTAACAAGTGTCTCGTATGTTTGGAGGAATAAACAGGGACCCATGGACAGCACTCGGCAGGTGGGCGGCACGGACAGCACTGGGCGAAACTCGGAGGGCCTAGCCTCTCGGAGATGCATGGTCTCAGCCCCGTGTCCCCCAGAGGGTATCACGTCCCCCCCACCCCCCACCTCGGGAAGCACTGCCACACGTTAGGGCAGGTAACTGAGTCAGTCTTCTCTAGTGTCAAATGAGAATGACAATGGCACCTGCTTCAGAGTCTCTGAGAGGAAGGATGACATACGAAGTGTCCTGGCACTTACCTAGCTGTTGGTGGCAACTGCGGTTGTGGCCCACACTGGGCGTGTTGCGTGTCCACATAATGCAGTTGCAAAGTTCGTATGCATGTGTCCATATGAACACTGCATGTCAGACATGACTCAGTAGGGATTGCAGACAGGCACGCACACACGCCCTCTCTCGGGGTCACACACCTCACTCCACACTGCCACCCCACAGTCAAGAAACCGGTGTCAGAGTCAGGCTTGGCTGCAGCCCAGGCCCAGGCTCAGGTGTCAGGCGCTGCATTAGTGAGATCAGAGTCTTCAACCCTCCTCCACCTGGTCCTGGGCTCCACATCCTCCACCTCCCGCCAGGCCCCATGGCACAGGCAGCCATGGATGGGGGCTCGGGGCTCCCTTGCAACCCCAGGCAGGCCTTGGCTCTCTGCCAGCACCTCTGCCGGCACCCTGCAGGCTTGGGCCAGCTATGGGCTGCACTTTGGAAGGTGAGGGAGGGGCACTGCCTCGGAAGGGGAGGGGACAGAAAGTTGGGGGGCTTGACTCTATCTCAGCCCTCAGGTGCAAGAGGCCGGGGGCTGCCCCTCGGGGCTGGAGCTGCCCACCGTGCTGCTGGAGGTGGAGCGGAGCCAGCAGGCCCAGGAGCAGGTAGGGGCTGGCCAGGGGATATGGCAGAGGCCAGTGTGGGTGCCCCCTCATGCCCTGACACCCCATCTTCCTGCAGCTCCTGTGGGACTTGGAGCTGCTGACAGGGGCGGGGCTGCACCTCTTCTGGCCCCCATCCCGGGCCCAGTTCTGCAGTCTACGGGGCCAGGCCCGGCGTGCCCCTGCAAGGAGTAGCAGGGGTGGGGACTCAGAGCAGCTGGTGAGTGGGTGAGCAGGGGCACAGCAGGCGGGGATAGGCAGAGGGTCCTGAGACACTGGGGCCCTGCAGGGGCAAGGGCAGGTGGGAGGAGCGAGGAGCAGGGGCCTTGGAGATAGACAGGTGAACTCCCTGCTCTGACGCTCCCTGTGGACTGTGAGCCCCGCTTACCTCAGCTATAAATTGGGACGGTAATAGGTCTTTCCCCAAGGACTGCTGGGAGGCCCAGTGAACTCATCCCAGTAAAGGGCTGGACACGGAGCATGCCCGTTCTGGGCAGGCTGTTCTCATCCTTCCACAGTTAACAACTGTCTTGGTCAAATCAACTGTGTAGTGACACCTGGAAGCCTTTCGGGGTGGCTGCAGCATGGGAGGAGAGCGGCCTGGCAGGGGCCCAGAGGGCAGGGGCACTGATGCCCAGGGAGGGAGATGCCGTGTGGTGACTGGGCCCCAAGCAGAGCTGGAAATTGGGAATGTGTGTCCCAGTCCCAGCTCAGCCCCAACTGCTGGAGTCACTTTGGGCAGGGTAGTGGCCCTCTCCAGGCCAAAGCATCCCAGCTGTAGCAGGAGGGGGTGTGACCAGAAGGCAGGGACCAGCCAACATTGTTGGGCAGAACTGCCATCTTACCTGAGGGGTCCACTGGGCAGGAAGGAGCTATTTCCAAGTTCCTTCATGTGGAGGGAAGGGGGTCACACGAGGGCATGAATATCAGGAGGCATGGCTGACCTGGGGCCTTCTTAGAGGTTGTGACCACACTAGGCAATGGTACCCTATGGACTCTGGCACCCCCAATCCTTCCAGAGTTCCAGGCTGCATTCTCCGCCCCAGGCCAAGGACTCCCTGAGCCAGAACCATGAGCTCCTGGAGGGGTGAGTCTTTCTCCCAGGGAGTCCTGCCGTCCCTCTGTGTGGCCAGGGTGGCCAAGAGCTGAGGCCTTTCCCCACTGCCTCCTGCAGTCCTGCCTGGTGCCTCCTCCTCGTGCTTCTGGCTCCTCCTAGGCTGTCACCCAGTTATACCCATGGTTGCCCCAGAGCCCCTGAAAAGGGAGACCCCTGAATTCCAGCTCCTGGGGTCTGGTGATGGGGGCAGGGGCTAGGGTGGCCACTGGGGACTCAGAGTTTGGGCATTGGGGAGGTGCTAGAGAGACTGGCAGGCAGGTGCCCTCCCCCCTCCAGAGCCTTGGGACGCTAGAGGTGCAGCTGAGGCAGCCCTTGCACTCCCGCAGGGGGAAGGCCACAGACCCGTCGTCAGCCCTGGATCAGGGTGAAGCCAAGAGCGATGTGGACCGAAGCGGGGAGAGCCCTGGCAGGCCTGCAGGGCCCACACCTGGTATGTTGGTTGATGGGATGGGACAGGACAGGCAGCCAGGAGAGAAAGGAGCCCCTGGCACTGGGGCAGCCAGACCACATTGGCATGAGGCATGAAGTCCTCACCTCAAGTCCAAGGACTTCAGATCTTCTTAACTCATTCTTCATCTCACACTTTTTTATTGAGTTCCAGGGGCACCTGGAGATGGCAAGCATTCTGTGTGCCAGTTCTACCTAGTTGATCCCAGTTGTCTCGGGCACTATGTCCAGCAGGATTCTGACACGCAGCTGGGGCTCAGGGGAGAGATTCCAGGAATGACCATCACTGGCAACTCCAGGCCACCAATTACCACCCTTGAGCCAGGCACTGGGGATACACAGAGGGCAAGAGAAACTCAGTCCCTGCCTTCAGGTCTCAGCCTGGTGAGAGAACATGACCATCGAGAGGCAATTTGAATTCAGTGGGATGGATACTGTGAGCCTTGGGTCTGTTCACTTAAATGAAACAGACTCTCAAATTATTTGTTAAATAATAGATCTTGCAAAGCCAGAAGCTTTTAATTGTTCCATCATGTACATGAGAGAAGAGGAAAGTGCCGATGATTAATTTCTAATTGACAGAGTTTTCATCTCTTGAGAAGACAGAGATAGCAATTATAATCTTATTACCAGAGAAATACATTCTCTAGTAAGACAACAGATGAGAATTACAGAGGGAGGGAGATTGGAGGCTGTTTTCACAGCTCGTGGCATTCATTTCTAAAGGCCTGGAAGTCCTAGAAGACTCCTTTGTTCAAATAACTCTTCAAAAAACAGATTTATGTTCAGAGAGCATACCCATTTGGTCACTGTTATGAATATTCACATGTCTGTATATTCCACAAACGAACAAGATGCAATATTCTTAAGAAAGTTCTCCATTTAAGATCTTATGAAATCTGTTTCTTTGAACTAGTTTTAGGGATGCAGAGCAACTCTCCTTCCTCCACAGCTGCAGGGGAGCAGAAACATATCAGCTCTCTTTTTAGATTTCTTTTGTTTATTATGAAGACTTGCAGTTTTTAGGTCAGGCTCTGGCCTAAAATTTCATCTCTTGAATTTCATTTGATTTTGCTGTTAGAAACAAAGAAAAGGCGAAGGAAGATTTTCCTTAATAACAGTAAAAAGAAAGGCACGTACAGTGGGTTTCTTCTCTGGGCCTGATGGGCATATCAGGACAAAGTGGGGGCATCCCTATGCTGAGGGACTTAGGAGCCCCGCATACAGGCCCTTCCCACTCCCAGGTCTCCTGTGGGCTTGAGGAAGAGGCTGTGCAGGTCCCTCTGGGTGTCTGCCTTGGCTGGGGCATGCGGGAGATGGAGTCTGCTATTGGCAGGCACACCTGACAAGCAGGTCAGCTGTGCCAACAAAGGTGGAATGATGAACTGTGACAGACCTGAAGTTCAAACAGTCCCCTCAGGGCATCCCCAGCCATGCCCTGGAGACTCCCGTTCAGGTGGTATGTGTGTGAGGGCTGGGGCCTGAGCAGAGGGCTCCCAACACTTGTCTTTCTCCCTCAGGTTCCTCACAAGAGCTGAACCCCATCACTGGCAGGAGCTTTGGAGAGCCAAGAAGCTCAGAGTTCAAGGTCTCCGCAAGGGCCCTCAGGTTGGAGGTGGCAGGGGTGGGCGTCTGGGTGGGCTGTCTGCTGGATGAGGTGGGGCAGCCTTCCCCGGCCAGGTGGAGGAAGCACCTTCCACACCACACACAATGGGCCTATCAAATTCCGGAATCAGGCAAGGGCCAGCCACTGGGGCCTACAGGTTCCCCAGGGGAAGTGGCCCTGGCGAGGATTCCCTCACCAGGCTGGGCCCAGAGTGCTCTTCCTTCTTTGGCTCAGAGGGAAGAGGGGAGCCCCTCGGAACCTGCCATCCAGAGGCGCCATCAACAGCAGAGGCCCCATCCAGTGCCATCTAGGAGTCCACAGGGGAGAGAGCTTACTCAGGGAGCCCCAGCGCCCTCTGGCCTGCCTTCCTGGGACCTGCCAGCACTCCAACATCCCCCAGAGAGGCTGGGCTCAAGCCTGGGCCAGGAGAGAGTGGAACTTCAGAAACTGCAAGAGAGGGACACTCCTCAGAGTCAGAGAGGGGCAGACCCTGATGGTCAGAGGGGAGAAGCCTCCCAGGGTGAGGACAGAGAAGCTACTCACTGTCAGAGAGGGAAGGCACACCAAGATCAGAGCAGGGACTCAGCCCAGGGTGACAATAAAGTGGCTGCTCGAAGTCAGAGAGAAAACAGGCCTAAATGCCAGAGAAAGGCGAGTCCTCAGAGTCAGGGAATGGAAATCCTTCAGTCTGCAGAAGACAGGATCCCGCAAGCCTGGGAGGTGGCTCCGGGAGAGGTGACTGCACAGCCTCTGGAGGAAGGTGGCCCCCCGGGCCAACCGAGGGACTTCTGTGGGTCCCTGGGAGAACAGATCCCACCGACCGGGGAAAAGAACAGCCAAGGCCCTGGGGGAAGGAGCACCTGGCTGATGCAGGGCAAGACTGAGGGCCAGAGACAAGATTCCGCAAAGCCAGGGGCAGCCCCGGAGGGGGCGTGGGCTGCTCTTCCGGGCCGGAGGGCCCCGGCCAGGCGGCGGCTCCCCGGTCCTGGCGCCGTGATGCCCAGGTCACTACGCCTGGGGGACTCTGGGCAGCAGGCGCTCCCTGCGGCTCTCCCAGGGCTGGCGCGCGACTCGCACGCACTGCAGGGCCCGGTGGGGCAGCAGGTGGACGAGGCGAGGCTCCCGGGCGCCCTCTGGGAGCGGAGGGGCGGCCCAAAGGGCCCCGAGTCCTCGAAGGCCGCCTGGCCAGCGCCCGCGGGCAGGGGCACAGAGCGGGCGGACGCGAGCGCGGCGCAGCAGGAGGCTTTGCAGCGGCTGCTGGAGCTACATGGCGCGGCCAGGCGGCGGCAGCGGCGAGATCGCGAGCAGCAGCGGCTCCGGGTGCGTCCCCGTTCCGGGATGGGCTGGGGCCGGGGCTGGGACCGTGGCCTGCCCTGTGGGGCGGCCAGGGGCTGACTGCCGCCTCCGCAGGTACTGGAACGCCTCGGCATCGCCAGGAACCGCCACTGCAGGGTCCACCCCCTGGGGCTCCCACCCAGCCCGGCTCAGCTCTGGCCACAGGCAAGGCCCCCAGGGGAAAGCGGTGGGGTCCGAAGGACCCTGCCCCGGTCTCTTTGAAGCGCACCCCGCACTAGTGCAGTGACTTCCAGGCTGACGCGGGAGGGCGGGTGCCGGGTCGGGTGGAGGCGCTCAGCGCTGGGCACCGCAGGAGGACGCAGCCGGGCGGCGGCACGCCCTGCGGGAACAGCTGGAGCAGGTGCACCGGGAGAGGACCGAGTGGCTGCAGGCCCTCAGGACCAGGTGAGGGGCGGCAGGGAGGGGGTGGGTGGTGGGAGGGGCCCCATGTCCGTGGCATCTGGGATGACAGGCCATTCTCTCCCCAGGAACACCCAGAACTTCCAGGAGCTACTGTGGCCCCCTGGCGGCGAGGAGCCTGCATCTGGAAGGTAGTGCTTGCCCCCTTGGGGTCATTGCTGGGCACGCAAAGGAGCCCAGGGTTAAGGAAGAAAGCAAGAGGGCAACCTGTGTGTCAGAGGTAGTTTCAGAAAGGCCTGAATGCAGCCCCAGGGCCTGGGAGGGCAGAGAAGCACAGACATACACAACAGCTTCGCCCCAACAGAAGGCCTGTTATTTCCCCTTAGCTCCCCCAAGCCTCAGCCAAGGTCAGAGTGCCAGGTCCCGGGGATCAAGCAGTGCGAAGGCCCCGTTCTTGCGGAAGAATGACTCAATGCGGCACATCTTGCAGGAGACCAGTTCTTGTTTCACTGGGGGACCTGGAAAAGATGTCAGAGGCCAGGAATGGGTTCCTGGGGAAGGGACACACAGAGAAAAGAGCACGGGAGCCCTGTGTGTCTGCATACCCCTAGGAATCTGCCCATGTTGTAGCCACTCTGTAGGAAGAAGTAAAAAATGCTTCTGAGATGTGAGGGGTGTGGGAAAATACAGGCAATTGGCTAGATGCCTGGCTATAGCAGTGACAGCAGAGTGACAGTCAGCTGTCTGCCATCATTACCCATCACGGCTAGCTTCAGGATCCTATACCAGGCGGTGTGGGGACACTGAGCCCTGCTTGTCACAGGGACAGGAGAGATGGGGCTTCCTTCTACCTTCTGCTGCCATTCTGGGGCTTGCCTCCAGCTTTCGCTAGAAAGTTGCTCCCCTGACTTCTCCCTCAGGGTCTCTGGGGAAATGAGGGACTTTGGGGGCCAAAATCTTGACCCCATCCCCCAACTATCCACCTTTTCCACACAGGGACTCAAGCAGCTGGAGTTCACTGGAAATTCTCGAGCACAGATAGCAAAGGGACAGCATTGCCCAGCAAGCTGGCAACACTTGCTGGCACACTCCGTTTCCACACCTCTGCTCTTCATCTCCAACTAGCCACTGCCGAGGCTGCTCTCCCTCCCCGCTGAGGGCCTGGACTCAGCGGATAGACAGCCTTCCCACCAGCACCACCCCCTGCCTGCCTCCCTGACATTTGCCAGCAACTTGAGCTCCCCAGGTGACCTGGCCCAATCTCGGGCCTTTAAATAGCACCCATTTGCTAATGACCTCCCAATGTGCACCTTCAGATCTGACCTGCTCCTGAGGGCCAGACTTAGACACACCTCAAGCTTAACACAGCAGATGGGGACCTGTCTACACACATCCTCCAGCCCTGTCCTACCTACTCCAGCCTACCCTGAAAAAGCCATTGCCTACAGGACAGTCAGGGTGACTTTTTAAAAAAGTAAATCAGTGTCACTCTTAAAGGCTGCTTAAAACTCTCCACTGTCTTCCTCGGCACGGAATAAAATCCAGACCACTACTTCTTGTCACTTGGCTCAGCCTTTAGGTACTCAGGCCTTTCCTGACAACCCAACCTAAAGAAGCATATGCCCCAGCCTCTCCGCACAGTCACTCTCTAGTTCTGTGGAACTGGTCCCCTCTTGGACATTTCCTTGATCTTATGCTTATGGTCTGGGCCCTCCACTCTGTTTGTGTGGAGGCCAATTTCCAGGAGTCAGGGCTCACCTAGCTGCCAGCCGTATGTGAAGTTGGTGGTGATGGGGAAGAGGTAGCGTGTCTCCGGCAGGTCCAGTTTTCGGGTGTTAAGGTAGTGGTAGCGCCCCTGGTGGTCGTGGGAGATGCCTTCATACAGCAGGGCCCGGGTGGTAGGTGGGACTGGGTACATTTCTGACTGAAAAGGAGTCTCTGGGAGAGGGCTGGTGGTCTTGGAAGGGACTGCTTGGGAGGCAGGTGGGGGTGGGGGTGGGGCTTTGGGGGACACGGTGGGCAGCTTGAGGGGCAGGCGGGCTGCAGCCTTAGCCTTCTGCTTGGCCTTCACCACTGACCCATACTTGCGGTGCCATTCACAGCGCAACATCTTCTCCCTCAGGTATTCCTCCTTCCAGAAGTTTTGCCGCAGCGTGTCCATGTTGACCTGCCTTAACATGGTGGCAAGGGAAGGAGCGGTACTGGGATGGTGGCAGCTGAGGGCTCAGCACAGCAAGCAGAGTGTTTCAAACAGCGGGGTGGCTGCCCTAGGACAGTCACCTGGCAACCAAGCCTCACCTCACACAGGGCCAGGTTCTACTTGCCATGCCCTTAGCAGACCTCACATGCATTGCTTCCTGAGACAGCCTGGAGCCAGGGCCCACTGGCTGAGAGCCTGGCCCCCAAACTTCTTGCAGGACCCAGGCTGGATCTAGTACCTTCCAGGTTTCCTGTGTTTCCTGCTTCTGTTCCCTGGGTCAGGCCCCCTCCCAGCCCAATGCAGACTGAGGTAGGGGAACTGGGGCCTGGACTCAAGTTTCCTCCCATCCTTCCACTGCAGAGCTGGTCTTCTTTGATCCACAGGAATAGTCCCTGAGTCTCCTGACACAATCTTCCTGGTCCAACTCTCTAAGCCTGGGTCTTTGGCAGAACCCTTTCTGTCCCTGCCAATCTAATCTCCCCCAACAGCCTCAGCCCACACGAGTCCTTCCAGCACCGAGTCTCAGTTTGGAGAGAAGAAAGAATATTACTTTAATTTAACATTGACAATGACACTGTGTAACAGCACAGGGAAGAGAGGTAGTGGAGAGAGATGGTCAGGCTTCCTGTTCCCTCACCAGCCTTGATTTTAATGGCAGAGCCCCAGCAACCTAGAATTGTCTCACCTAGCCTCTCAACAGAGTGGGAAGGGGCAGGGAATTGGAAATCAGAGGCTCAAAACTTAAAGGAGGGCTGATGGCAAGCCTAGGAGAAGCTTGGAAATGACGGAGGGGCTGAAGGGCTGTGGGGTGTCCCCTAGCGCAGGTCTTCGGCAGTGAACATGCCCCTGGCCCTGCGCAGGATGGAGTCCTTGGCGGCATCATAGGGGTGCTCCTTGGATGGGATCTCAAGGACGGCCGGAATGGAACGCTGGTGGGCGTCAAGGGCGTGTCGCACCATCTCTGCGATGTACTGGTTGATGAGGATGATGCCTATGTCATCCCGGTTTAGAAACTGCCTGTGGGAAGAAAGAAGGGAGTCCAGGGCACATCCAGTTCACTCCTGAAGTCCCAGCTACTCGGGAGGCTGAGGCAGGAGGATCACTTGAGCCCAGAAGTTTGAGGTTGTGGTGAGCTATGATCACACTACTGCACTCTAGCCGGGGTGACAGAGTAAGACTCTGTCTCAAAAAAACCCCCAAAACCAAAACAAAAAAACCTATTTACTGAGCCAGGTGTAGTCCTAGCTACTTGGGAGGCTGAGGCTGGAGGATTGCTTGAGGCCAGGAGTTCCAGGCCGCAGTGTGCTATAATTGTACCTGTTAATAGCCACTGTAATCCAGCCTAGGCAAAACAGTAAAACAAATAAACAAACAACTATTTACTGAGTATCTACCCCATGCCAGGCATTAGGGTAGGCCAGACTTGATAATCTCTGAGGTCCCTTTTAGTTGGAAAAATGGAAAATTTTTGAAGTAAAATTTGTCTTTCTCCCATGACAACCTAGGTCACTTTACCACACAGTTTAGAGATCAGTAGATAATAGCCTCCCAGGTCAGGAGGCTATCATACCCCAGGCAGCAGGAACCAGTCTCAGCCTGCAGCTCTGGGCTGGGCTGTTTAGGTGGAAACAAGTGAGAGTGTTTTATTCCTGAGACTTGGCACAGGGGCCCTACAGAAGAGGTTAAGGAAAGAATAGAAGGCTGGCATACTCAATTCCAGTCACCAGGACACCTTCTGCATTACAGGCATGCCTGCACCCACACTTTGGAGCTATCATCCTTGACCCAGGGCAGAAAGTAAGGATTTGAAGTGCAAGGTCTTAGCAGAAGGCCAGACACAGTCCTGATGTTTTGCCTACAGTGCTGAAGAGAAAGGAAAATTCCAAGGCAGGCTGAGGAAAGTGACACAAGCAGAGTGTGCACCTGGTTTAAGAGAGGCAGAAAAGGTTGGGACTGAGTTCTAATCCTAGTTCTGCCTCTCCCAAATTGTGTGACTTTGGGTACATGCCTTAACCTGAGCTTTAGTTTTCTCACCTGTAAGTTGGAAAAATACCCCCTATCTTACAGGACGGTTGTGACCCTCTAAAGGAGATACAACACAAGAAAGCCTGAGCCCACTGGTGCTAATCTAGTGTGTGGTTCCCTTAGGGTGCACCTGGCAAAAGAGCTCTACGTAGGGAATCCCTGAAGAGGCACTGAGGCTTGCCAACGTCGAGGAATGGGCACTCTGGGCGTCCAACTATGGGCAGGGACCGGTCGGGGTGAGGGGTGACGCTCGTCACGAGCTCTATTCCCCTTCTTTACTGACACACAATCATGTGAGGGGGAAGCTCGTGAACCTGACACAGCCCTGGTCCCACTAAGTCCCAAAAGCGAACGTAAGGGCCTCTGTTCCGGAAGGGCAGACTGACTTCCAGGACCGCCCCCAGACCCCCATCGGCGTCTGACACCTCGGTTCCCAGGCCACCTCAGCCTTCTCCCCGCGCTCCCACCAGGCAGCAGAAGGGCCCGCCTAGGCCTCCCGGGCTTCCGTACCGGAAAGTGTCTTCGATCTCATTGATGGTTGTATCCTTCTCCACCACCAGGAAATTAGGGTGGCGGTTCTTGTTAAGCTCCCCTATGCCGCCCAGCAGGAAACCAGTCACCGTGTCCTCGTCTCCGATCACCGCAATTAGCTTCCCCCTCCCCGCCATCCCTGCAGCCAGGCAGAGCTCACCCCTGAGTCCCCAAAATCAGCAAAGCCCCGCCCCGCAGCGCGACGCCTAGTCGACCTCGCCCCCACCTTTTGAACATGCGCAGTTCTCACACACCGCCTCCCAGGACATGCGCATTAACAGCGAGGTGGTGTTAATCTGAATACGCCTGCGCCATAAAGGGAGGCCGGAAGCAGGAGCTACGATTCCCAGAAGGCTGTGCGGCACCATGGCGTCTATCTGGCGTTCATTTGTTCTTTCAGTTCTTTGTTGGTTCATTCCTTCAACAAACGTTTTAGACGCTAAGGCCCCAGAGAAGAAAAGACGCAGTTCCTGCACTCAAGGGCAAGGTCTGGGTCTGTACTGTATATGTATGTATGTAACTATGACACTGAAACGGCGAACGACCCACAGGACAGATTTCACACACGGGCTATGTGGGAGCAACAAGGCTGGGGTGCGAGTGGGCTGAGTCCGAAAAGAGAGCACAGAAGTTTAGTGAGTATTTTTATAAACGGGCATAGCCGACGGCCTCCCACCTGCCCTGTTCAGTTCTTTGTTTCTGAGCCAAACTGGCAGGTGAAGAATTGCTTCCTGCTACATGCAGTTCCCGTGTGGCAGAGGACGGCGGGCAGAACAGCTGTATGTAGTAAATTCTTCAAACAACCAACTCCTACAACCCCTTTGCCCCGTCACATCCATTCTTCTGCTCTGGCGTTCTCCTTATCAGGAGAGAGAGGGAGGGATAGCCTTCTTCTCTCTCTGGGAGGGAGGAGGAAGGAATGCTGGCTGCAGCTGTCTGTCAGATCTGCAAAGTCAGGGGACTCCTCAGACCCCAGTGGCTATTGGTTTACGAGCTTTTGCATTAACCACATTCTGTCCTATTCATACTTTTCGGGTTCCCACCTGGAACAAACCTAACATTCCACACTTTTTATTATATATATATAAGAAAAGGAAGGGTAAGGTGTGGGAAAAGGGTAAAAATTAGAAAGATTGGGAAGGTTGCCTGCTAGTTTGGGAGAGAGATAGTAAAGAGTAGGGAGAGTTCAGAATTGATTTTTTAGCTGTCATGAGAAAATGGGGAACTTCAAGACCACCCTAACATTCCCCTTTTTGTTAAAATGAAATTAATATGTAAAATGAACTCAGAAGTGGGAAAATGGGCAGAGATCTTTCTTCTGTAGCTTCTTTGAGCTGAGGAGGGATGTAGAGATCGTCTTATGGAGTTCATTTATTAAAAGGGAAGGGGTTGAAAACGGACAGTCTTGAAGTTAGAATAGAGGCAGGATGGGGTTTTACTGGAGAGAAATTGTTAGGGCCTGAATTTTACTAGATAGTGGAGAATATAGGGTTTGAAAATGAGAGTTGAAAGTAGAGCCACTAGGGGCCTTAGGTAAGAGTTTAAGATCATGCATGGTGAAAAAAGCTCATAATTTGAAAAGGTAGAGAGGTTTCTTGGACTGCAGGCAGATAGAGGTGTCATAGAGCACCCATAGTGGGGGAATGGAAAGTAAGGTTCTTATTATTAGGGTTTCCAGAGTAGGCAAAAGGACTGACCGACCTGGTATGTAACTTGGCCTGTAGAGGCATTTATAGAGTGACACAAGAAGTATAAAGAGGAGGAAAAGCATGGTAAGGAGTTATATATACCACAGCATGTTATCAGAGTCTGGTATCTGTGATGGGCTGGACTTTGAGGGAGCTCAACATGGGTGGAAGCAGGTTCTGGAGGGCCTGCAGGTTTGAGTCCTGAGAGATAACTCTCAGGATTTCCAGAAGCTTCGCTGGAGTGGTGGAAGCAGTGAGAGAATTATTTAAAAGATTGAAGGAGGTTTAATTTATTCTGGGAAATCCTTGAGTAAAATCTAGTCTCTAGGCTGTAAGTGCTGCGGTCCCTTTAAGAAGCGGTTCAGTAAGTTTTACTGCTGGCAGGTAGGTGCCAGGTAGGGGTGGTGGAGAAAGACAAGGGAACCAAACCGAACATACTAATTTTTATCTCCTGAAATCAATTTTTACAATTTTATACACCTGTCTCTTTTGTAATAGCTCTTAGGCCCTAGAGAGGATATGTAAGGTTGGGCCAGGTGGAATCTAGTGGTTTAAATCCTGGAGATAACCCTGTTATTTACTTAATATTACTTCAGTGGCTTTGGAAAGCAAAACAAGAGAATTAATGTTTTAAATAAAAAGTCATAAAAAATTTTAGTTTTTTTCTATGACATTTTCCAAAGAAGCAAATCTTCAACTGTAGTTGATTATAAACTGTTGTTTAAGAAGAATTGGAGCAAAACAACAACCATCCATAGATGGTAAAGGTTCCACAATAGTCATGGTTACAGATATAAAGGAGGTTTGGTTATTTTTGTGACACACACACATATATATATATATATATTTTTTTTTTTTTTTTTGAGACAGAGTCTCACTCTTGCCCAGGCTAGAGTGCTGTGGCGTTAGCCCAGCTCACAGCAACCTCAAACTCCTGGGCTCAAGCGATCCTCCTGACTCAGCTTCCCGAGTAGCTGGGATTACAAGCATGTGCCACCACGCCTGGCTAATTTTTCCTATATATTTTCAGTTGTCCAGCTAATTTCTTTCTATTTTTATTAGAGACAGGGTTTCACTCGCTCGAGCTGGTCTCGAACTCCTGACCTCGAGCGATCCTCCTGCCTCAGCCTCCCATAGTGCTAGGATTACAGGCGTGAGCCACCATGCCTGGCCTCCATTTCTTAAATAA